GTCCATTAAAGAATATTAAAAGGTTTGGACGGTTACAATACATCGCAATGTCGTGCTGTGACGTGCCTCTCCTCACATACTGCTCAGCCGGCTTTTTATACCGTCCCCTGTTGCCTCGCGTTACCAGCGGTGTCCCCTTGTTATATCACAGTGGGAAGTGCTGTTATGTCACCGCGGGGGGGCTGGGCAGAGTGTTGACTGGCCTGTTACCATAGCAGCGGCAGTTGCTCCGATGTTGTTATGTCACCGCTGGAGGGGTGGTGTCCTTCATAGCGCAAATACATCACAATATCATACTTTATGGTAGGGGAGGAACACTATTTGTTAGAAGGTTCTGAGGCTTCACCAAACTTTCCTTCTGATAATTTTAATATGAAAGTGAAGGTGCTAGGATGGTTAGAATTAGTGGATTGAGATGGAGGCCATGGAATTTTTATTTTATGAATTTTTGTAAACATATTTCTTCAAAATAATATTTAAAAATATAGTTCCTACCTCACATAAATCGCACCGCATCCCCACTATAAAGGCCAGTTGGTTAAGGCAGTTTAGGGAAATAATCGTTCTTTGTTTTGAGAACTGTCTGAAACACATCAATACACTCTGTGAACAAAATGCAGAATATTATTGTGTTAAAGCAAATGGTACATGCATACTTCAGATAGTTACAATACAATACAATACAATACAGTTAATATAATTACATTAATATTTTACTTTCTTAATACATGTGGATGAGACAGCCTGTAGGAGGCACATAGGAAAAAGAAGAGTGGAGGTAAAAGCCCACACAATGTGCTATTTGGAGATGATTGGTCAGCTCCAGTCTCATGTAGCTTTGCTCTGATGAAGGAGCCTACAGTGTCTGTTGGACAGGAGACAGGGTCAATACTAGTCATATTTAAGACATGGTGTTGGACAAATAACTTCCATTGTTCTTACTGGTAATCGAATCCCAGCCATCCATAATAAGTAAGTGTACTGATTGAGCTGCTGTAATTCATATCATCTTTATAGATACAAGATTTAACATACCGAGCAGCAGATTAATATTTGAAGCTCCTACAAGTACCAGCTTCCAATCGTGCTAATTGCTATTAGTGAATTAAGAAAAGTAATTTGTTGAAATTAACACAGACTGGTGGTGTCGGAAATGATGTGAGACATGATCAAAATTCCCTCATAATTTGAATCATATTACAGTTTTGAAAAATGAGGAAGTAGAGAGTGAGGGCATGGTCTACATTGGAATATTTGCTGAAGGAGTAGTTTGCAGTGTAATGGATATAATTTCTAAGGTTCAGTATGCTGATGCAAGGACATATGTTAATAATGTACGTCATTAGTATGTCATTTGCAGGATGATCTGGATTAACGCTGCTGGTTGGACTGTGGTAGTGTTTCTCACAGTGTATGCAGGAATGCTGATATTTGCACGCTACTATGACTGTGATCCTCTTTCAGGTGGTGTAAGTAGGAATTATTTTCTTTGAATAATTATGTTACCTCTTAGTTCTGTAACATCTTCCTACTTAGCTAGCATGTCACTTGGTTGGTTTGTGAGTCCGCGGTCAACTCAGCTGCCCTAGTTACACATGAATATCAATACATAAAGCAACAAATTGAATTTAAATCTCAAAACCTGTACTTAATCTATAGTAATATAACTTCTTGGGAGAAGTATTTTTTCTTGCCACATATAATGGTTATGCTCTTAGGACCTCACTGTTAAAGTACAGCATGTGAAAGTTGAAGGTTCAGGTTGATATTAGAGTAGGAGAAGCTTTCTTTTGTGTACCCTCCCCCTATGTAACTGTGAGGCTGCCTGTTCCTCATTGTGCAAATCTGGGCTCACTCCTAGAGTAGTCCATATGGGGTTTCAGTGTGCAAAGTAGCAAATGACAAATTTTTTACGAAGAATTTATTTTTCTGTTGCCAGTCATTGTTCCATAGATGCTTCATGCTGATCTGTCTTTGCTGCAGAATTGCATGACAGGCATGTGTGGACTTCACCTCTGACCCAGCAATCAGGTCAAATTCATGTAACACCAAATGTTGTTCCATGGTGATTAACACTCTTGCTCTACTTGGGAGCCACCTGTCTTTGAATCTGAAATGAAGCATAGGCTATTCTGAGAGGTTGTTTGTGATACTTTTTCTTCCAGCACAGTGTATTATTATTTGGCAATACTTTTTGGTTGATATTGTTGTGTAACACTGAGTGATTGTGTGGCTGATGATTTGGAAAGTATATGGAAGGAAGTAGCTATGACCTATTTAAACTACTATCTGAGAATATGCCTGAGGGACTGGTGAAAACAACAAGAAATCTTAGTCAGGATAACACATCCCTGGACTGAGATATAAGCATAAAAATGAAGCACGTATGCTATTTACTCAAATGGGATATTCATATTTGGAAAATTAAAGGATGGTGACTTGAAATGGACTATTACCACTGCTTTTTAGTTTATGATACACAGCCAACCTCTCAACTTAGTTTAGGTTATCTAACCATGGCAGTCAATCCCATGATGTGACTGTTTCTTATTTAATCTTCTAATTGTATATGTAATGGAATTTTTTATTGGTCGATTGATTGATTGATTCATTCATTCATTCATTTATTATTTCAGCATGACCTATATTTCTAATATACTTGAATGTGAGAGGTGACTGGTCAGATATTTCATTGGGAGACAAATGATGTGTATGAAGAGTTCTGTCTTCTGGTATAACACAGTGTAGTCCACTGAAAATCGACTGACGTTTCAGAGGAACATGTGACCTCCATCTGCAAGATTGAAGAGTAAGCCAAGCAAGAATGCAGCATGAAGCGGGCAGTAAGAACGTCTCTGCTTCATCCTGAAAATGGTGGTGGAAATTTCTACTGAAACCCTGATTGACTTTCAACAGACTACATGGTGTTATGCACCAGAAGATGAAACTCTTCTTGACCATCAGTTTCTTAGAACCTCAAATACTACAAAATAATATATGTATTAATATTTTCATAGGTTCTGAGTAAACCAGACCAACTGTTTCCTCTATATGTCATGGACACACTTGGAGAATATGTTGGCTTTCCGGGTCTTTTCGTTGCAGGAATATTCAGTGCAGGCTTGAGGTTAGTCCAGATCCTTCTGAATCCAAATAGAAATAGAGTAATAATTTGGTATTAAAATGCACTGTTCTCTATTCTGTATTACTAGAACTACTATCATTAATTGCTTTTTAGTTTGTGAATTGCCCCAGTTGGTCAATATGAACATGGGTCTGATGAATTAGTGACACAGAATATTGAAAAATTACAACAGATAATCTATATAACTAATTCCATGGAACAGAGCTAATAATATTTCAGCCAGTTAAGAAATTTTCTTCCTGTCGTAGAACCCAGGGGTTTATTGCCATCATCACAAGAATCTGCAACTGAATTCCTATCCTGATTCATACGAATCAAACCCACATTTTCCTTCTTGGCTTCATTAAGACAGCATCCAGACTGACTCTGGGGTCCATCTCAGCTTCCTATACAATGGGCATTAGCACTATTTATGGAGGTAAAGCTACCAGGGTGCAAAGTAGAACATCAACCACCATATAGTACTGAGGATAAAATTGTGTGGAGCTATACCTCCACTCCCTCATTCATCTTTGTGGAATGATGCTTAATTAAACACTTTACCATTTCAGTACTATTGTCCCATTTATTCCTCGGTCTCCCAGTTGGTTTCTACCTTCAGCTAGGAAACATGCTTAATGTCTGTAAATTTATATAATATTTTAGCTTCAAATACGCTTTCAGAATTAAAAAAAATCATAGCATTACACTTCTTAAAAAATTAATGAATGAGACTGAATACCAGTGAAACTGATGAATGAAACAGGTTAACCAGTTAATTGTGTATTCTTGATTTATCTGCATACACTTTCCTTTTAAATAATGTTACATTTGAATACCTTCTATTTAGCAGGTTGTTTCTTTTGGGCTGAGACAGATTATGACAGTAAATTGTTCACAGTTCTGATCTTTGTGTTTCAGTACTGTGTCTACAGGTCTGAACTCATTAGCTGCTATATGGTGGGCTGAATTAGATGGCACTGCATTCAAAAAATCTCTATCTCAACACAAGTCTGGACTTACTGTCAAATTTCTAGCACTATTGTTTGGATTGCTGTCTTATGCGTTGGTATATCTGGTGCCTTACATGGGTGGACTTGCTCCTGTAAGTCATGTTACAGATAATAAACAAAAGTATAATTTTATATAAGTGGTATGAATATTATGACATGCTGAATTTCTTATTCATGTTTACTATTCCAGGTTGCCATTTCTTTGTCAAGTTTCTTCTCAGGCTCTTTCTTAGGACTATTTATTCTGGGAATGTTTGTTCCATGGGCAAATACTGCTGTAAGTACAAAAATATATTTCCATTAATGCAGTGGAATTTCTGTCATTATTTTTTTATTGTTAATTTAACGTTTTCCTTCCTGCAGTACTTAGTTTCTGCAGTCCGAATTCCATTGATCTCAGTCAAGAGGTTCCTCTGTTTAAGATTTGTTTTTCATATAAAAGTTTAGGAATTCATTTTATTGCCTTGGAAGTTGCCAGTGTGATTTTCTGAGTATTAAAGAATGTACATGCATTCTGTAACAGGGTGCAGCAACTGGCCTGACAGCTGGAATTGGAGTTGTTGGTTGGCTAGCTGTTTTGGGCCAAGTGATGTCAGACAGGGGAGAAGTAGTTTCTGTACCTCTGCCTCTGTCAACTGAGGGATGTGCACTGGTGAATGCAACATTGTTAGCAGATCGCAGCAAGTGAGTCTGTACTGGTTAAAACTTTTCAGAGATGACTTAAGGATGGACTGTTATGCTGCTCACCTACACTTTTACCTTGTTTCTCAAGTGATATTTACACTTATATTAATTCTATGAGGGGATACCTGATGTAGTTATCTGCACTTTTAAAACAGAATTTTTACTTATACTGTAAATTGCTACCAGATTACATTCTTCCATGTCCAACATATTAGTACATAAAAAATTAAATTTGCCTAATATTCGCTTAATATAGCAAATTATAGTACTGAGCATTTGAATTGTAACAAAGACATCCTGGTTGATTGGCCATATCAGTAAGGCCTAAAATGTGAATTTTCAATGCATCACAGAATGTCATCTCCCATCATCACAAACCAAGGTAATGTATGATGCAATATTTATAACACACACTCAAATGCCCTGTCTCACTCACACACACACACACACACACACACACACAGAGGAATATTTCCTTTATCACTCTTCTTGCCCCAGGAGCAGGTAAGCAGGAGAGCAATTGGTGGATAAGACACTCATCATTATATCTAGCCCATAGTCTGTTGCTTAATCTGGAGGAATCTATGGATTTAGCAAATCTGAACTCATCCTTACATGGATTTTTATTGAAGGCTGTCTAAACTAAACTAAAATCCGTGGTTTGTAGTCCGTAAGCATCAGTCAAGGTGTCACATATCTCAGTTGAATTTGTTGAAATGTAGCCAGATCCCTGTGGTCTCTTTCATTAGCCAAGTCATGTATCGAGTCCTGTGGTATCATCATAGTTACTTAACTAGTAGTACGTGGTGTGACAATAAAGTTCGCGAACTCATCGCAGTAAAAGTTCTACAGACCTCATTGCTGAATATCACTGTGTTTGCCTTCAAAGTACTCCCCTTTGGAAGCTATTCATCTATACCAGCGCCTAGTCCACCCTTCAAAACAATTTTGGAATTGGTTTTGTATATTGATCTTCAGACCTGCCATTGTATTACTCCTGATGTCATCAGTGTCATCAAAATATCTTCCTTTCAATATTTCCTTTATCTTTGGGAACAGAAAAAAGTCATTTGGGGCTAGATCCGGTGACTAGGGAGGATTTTTCAATACAGTTATTTGTTTACTAGTTGAAAACTTCCTCACAGGCAGTGCCGTGTGAGCAGGTCCATTGTTGTGATGCAAGATCCATGAGTTGTTGGCAGAATGTTTGGGTCATTTCCGTCCAATTTTTTCATGCAGCCTTCTCAGTACTCCAAGCAGTAAACTTTGTATGCCAACATCATCAAACCGTACTGAGGTTTCTGTTCAATGCTGCCATGGCAAGCACACTGTGGTGAGTTCGCAAACTTTATTGTCAGACCTAATATCAGAATGCAGTGATTTTGAATGGTATGGCAAAGGGTTAATGCATTTTAGGATGGAAATATGGCCTTTAATTCTTCCTATACAGTTTATTCTTATATGTGGAACAAAATTTGTTTATCTGTGAAGGGAGTCATGGCAATAGCATACATGGATATTTTGATTCAACATTCAAGAAAGAGCTTGGATACAGCTTTATGCATGCTTTAGGGAACCATCTGATTGCCTTACATGTCTCTTTTTTTTTTCTATCTTAAACTCCATATTTCAAATGGAATATCTTTAGCTGCATCTCATGTTCTTCATTATATCATTAGGGTTGAGTCAGAGCCCTTTTCATGAGGCAGCAGTTCCTCTGATATGTTCATTGAGAACATCGCTTGTCATATTATACCGTTCCATAATATTATTTAATTTTCTTATAGATCTAGCTATTTCAAGAAGGAAAGGGGAAATGTGCAGTATAAACCACATACTCTGAATTTAAATATATAAACCCAAACCTTCAATATCCTTTCTATAGCATGTCCTATTTTATCTTGAACTTTCACATTCTGAGAAGTTAACAGCTCTGGATATCACTTTTCATAGGGCTGTCAGTTACAGCATCACCACTTTTGTGAGCTATACATATGCCGCTAGCCACAAGGGCAGAAGCGATTTTTATTTTTCCCCCACTCTTCAGACACTTAAGTTCCAATAAATGAAATCACATATTACAGAAATTGTTTAGCATTTTAGTATGTTTTTAAGAGAATAAAGTTTGTCTCAATTCTGGGTAGAACATGATTTCTAGTCATTCAGATATCATTATCATGCAGTTAAAGTTTTAAAATAAAGTAAGACTATTAATTTATTTCCAGTGATACATGGATTTAATTATGGCCCAGATCTTTTGCGCAATACTAAACATAATGGGTAACCTTCATATTTCTAGCTTTAAACCTTTTACAGACATAGCAGAGAAGAATGTACAAATATTTTGACTAGGTAATAATTACAAACTGCAATTATAAGCATCAGTGTAGATTAATTTCTACTGTGTGTGTGTGTTCATGTAATATGTCCCTTCTTATCTCTTTCTAGGTCCACTGAGTTTGCATTTGTCCTGTACAGAGTGTCGTTCTTATGGTATAGTCTATTATCCCTTGTTTTGACTGTGGGAGTGGGCATGCTGGTCAGCCTTCTGTATAGTTGGCTGTTACGCAAAACTGGAAATAAATCAATATCCCAGCCACACAATTCTCCTGTATTCAAGCCAACATCATCCATGCATATCAGCAAGAATCTAGGAGCATGCAAACTGCTGCTGAAGGAGGAAGAAATGAAGGATAAGAATGCAATAAAGGTTAGTTCTCAGGGTAAAGTTCCTGCAGTCCAGTAGTGATGTGTAGTTTGGTGCTGGTTTGCTGTGTCGCATGCATTGCGATTGACTTCACCTACACACCAGGTGTTAAGTTTAAATTATAATAAACCAACTGCAGGCTTCTGTATCAATTTCACATACATAATAAAAGAGGTAAAGTTTTCCCTGTGCCAAGGTACCACACCATGAATCTATATGGGGCAATGTAAATAAAGTTCCCTAATCTGTGCATTGTATGGAGGCAAGGGATTAGCTTTATGCTCTGATTACTTCACCCCCAAGCAAATGACCCATTAAATTGGAAGCTGGGTTGGATTTTGAACTGACCTGGACAGAGTGGGAAAAAAGTTAGGAAATGTATACATGGTTTAACAGTTCTGGTGTGATCACTCCATTTCATTTAATTGCATCCAAGACTGCAAGACTTAGAAAAAGTATATTGCTTATGAGCCAATGTGTTTTATTTTTATCTGTACTTTTTGTTCAAAGCATTTTTCATTCATATAAATTTTGAGTGAGTTATGCTAAGAGACACACAAAAAAGTATGTAGGTTTTCATGGAAAGCTCTGTTATTTTGTCCAATTTAAATCAACGTTATAGAATTTTTAATAATTTTAGTGGAACTTCGTGATATGAAATGATATGAAAATCTGTTAAATGGTTTTTTGAATTAACACTTACCTATAGACAGATAAGACCAAGGAAATAGGCATATTTTTGCAACTTTCTATTGTGAATGCACCAAAGAGTCACCCTGTTGGGAATCAGAACCCAGTAGTCCAAAAATGTTACACATTAAGGGGAGATTACATTTCATAATGTGAGAGCAGATACATTAAAAAGAAACAAAAAGGAATATGTCTCTGAAATTGGTTAATATTTTAATAGAATTAGTATCAGTTGACCACTTAACTGGTAAATTGAACATATTCCAGCATGAACAAAATTATATTCATTGAAATGTGATATATTTTATGCGAGTAATGAACATGTTACCAAAATATGAAGCTGCTAAGTAACTGTAAGTTTTAAAATTCTGACTGATTTTGATTAGTGCGACTTTTCATTTGTATGTAAATTGGTACATTTACTCACAGTCTCTGTGATTTTGTGTCTATGAGTTCTTCTCTATAGTTGTTCATGATAAGTTATGTTTTACTGCAAAAGAAATCCCTTTCATGTTTTTATCTGTCAAAAATTGTTTGCTTTGGTGTATAGCTGTTATGTGAACGGAGAAGTTCATGGAGGTAGGCCTAAGCCCACTGGGGCTGTAGTGCCAAGGAAAAAAAAGCTGTTATAGCAGATCTGTAATACATCTTCATAGGAGGATGTGGTTTTAATTAAGCTCAGAACTGATAGTACTTGGCCTGACTTCAGTATGTTATCAAGCTTAAGGCACACTTCAAATTTCAAATTCTAATTAAAAAAAGAGAAAAAAATTACAACACTCAAAATGGTATACATTTTATTGAATAGTTTCTAAATATGCCAAATATGTATGTATATATTTAATTAATATTGTGGGATGTAGACCCATTGCTACACAACGACTAGGAAATAAGCAGCTATGCAACAGCCATTGCTAGGTAATGGTCATAAGAGATTCGTAACACGCAACAGTGGAGTAACTGTGAAGTGGTGATAGCTACGTGATGCACCAATATAAGAACTGTGGGAGAGCTGTTTTCTGTGCCAGCGATGCTGAGGCTATATAACGAGCAGCTGCAGTTACGTGATTGACTGCCAGCCGCAATGTGACTTTGAATTTGTCTTTGATGAGATAACCTTGAAACGAAAGTTAGAAGAATAGGAGGTTGGTGTGTGATGGCCACCAGCCTGTGAGTCAGTTATTGGAGTGGAGTGAGTTGGTTGGTGAAGTGAGTGAGTTAGTTAGAGGGTTGCTGCAGTTAAGTCCTTGTGATCTGTTGCTGTGAGAAGCTGGTAGCTGAGGCATGGAGACAGTTTGGGGACAGAATAAGGGGAATGTCTGTCGTTGGAAGCTGCTACCAGGCAACTGTCAAGGAAGACTGAGAAGACTTTATGTGTGATGTGGTTACACTGATGGACAGTACTATAATGGATCTTGGAGAGATAGGATGGGATGATATGGATTGGATAGATCTGGCTCAGGATAGGGGCCAGTGGAGGGCTCTTGTGAACACGGTAATAAACATTCTGGTTCCATAAAATGCTGGGAAATTCTTGAGTAGCTGCAGAATTGGCAGCTCCTCCAGAAGGGCTCAGCTCCATGAGTGAGTAAGTAAGTAAGTAAGTAAGTAAGTGGTTACAATGATCTTTGGTGTGTGTAATTCAGTGAGGCTCTTACAGTTGTTTGCTATTTCTGTAAATGTTCAATAAATCCAATTACCAATCCAAATTGCATATGTAGTCCCTCATACAAGTGACAACTGATGTCAGAAGTGGCACTGGATTGAGTTATTAAATTGAAGACTACAGTGGTTAGTTGTATTGTTATATTACAAAAGTGGAACAAATGACGGAGAAAATACTGGAACACCTGTTAGCCAGCGAAGAACAACTGATGGCCAAATTGAAAACTGAGGTGGTAACCAACCAAGAACAAATGATGGCCGAAATGAAAGCTGAAATGAAAACCAACCAAGAAAGGCGGACACCACTCTGAGGGAAGCAAAGGTTGAAAAAGAATCAAATCAAGAACCCAGACTAAGGGAAATGTCCGCCATTGGAAGCTGCTACTGAGCAATGGTTAGGAAAGCCTGAGAAGACTTATGTGCGCTGTTGTTACAGTAATTTTTGGAGTATGTGACTCAGTGAGAATGTTGAGTTACTTGCGGTTACATTCTGTAATTGTTCAGTAAATCAAATTACCAATCCAAACCTCATCTGTAGTCACTCAATCACGTAACAGTATTATTACCAGTGTATCCCATTACCGTTGCTTTAGCAAATGGACACACAATTTCCTTATGCAGACTACTTTTAAAATTATTAAGCTAAAAGATATAATTTCACTTCCCAAATGCTATATTTTTCATTGTCGTCACAACAGAGAACCACCACTTTTAAAGAATAAATTACATTTTCAGTGATAGGTTCTAGTAAAATACCTAAGAGATTGGAATGTATACAAGTGTAATGTGCAGTCAGTTTTAAGTAGATGTGTGGATGAGATATATTTGCGTAAATATTACCATGCCTTCAATAAATAATAGAGGTATGAACTATTTTTTGACTCATTATGAATTATATTTTAGTCAACGAGGTCCTGAAGTTTCTGAAATTCTACTGATATTTGCGAAATGTGAAGTGATTTTCTGTTGAAGGAATTTAAAACTACAGCAGTTTGAAGTTCAAGAAAAAAGTCTCACTGAACCCCCAAGTAAAGGGAAATTATATGTTGACACCCATAAATATATTTATCATCCATGAATGACATTAATGAAAATAATAACAGTATTATAGATTTAACATTGGGATATTTAAAACCCACTTGTGTGAAGACATTCTGTGTGGAATTATACATATTCAAAAAGAGACTTTCATTAATTTATATCTGCTACCTGTATGAAATGTTGCTAGGCAAATATATTAATAATGTTATTAATAATTTGCGCCACACAAAATGACACTGTTGGGGAATAATGTGTCTTGCTGTACCAGAATATTATGTAGGCTCTTATAAAATTTATTTCCAAGCACTGATTATTTATGAGCCAAATAAGTCCTCTTACTTACTCTGATGTCTTTGAGTCCTTTGGAACCTGTTTAACGATCCCATGAGATGAAAACTACGTTTAAATAAAACAATTAGGCTTGTTATAATGATGGCCTCAAAAAGGTAATGATAGTGGTAAGAGTGTAATAGATGATGATGCCAGTATGCCTCACTTTTGGTGGTGTGCATACTGGCTGGAAAAAGTCTTGTTTTGAATAGTGACATAATATGAATTGCTGTATATGTGTATTTAAGAAACCAGTTCAGATTTGTTATATTTAATACTCATCATGTACATCTGTTAAAATAGGGATTGTGAAACTTTAATGGAGCTGCATTTCAACTAAAGAATAACATTTTTATGCAGTTCTGAGAAAACTTCAGAAATTCATTTCTATCAGTGACTCCTTATGGAACTACATCATGCATTATTTCTGCCTAAAGCTTAAAATGGAATGTTTATCTCCTCCTGCTTAATTCCAATTGAATGCAAATATAGGAATATGTGACACCATGGACTTATATTTCACAGATTTTAACAAAGTTTGATATAAAAGATGATGGTAGCTCATGACAAGGGCTACAATTTACCCGGTGTCCCTGGAGAAAAGGTCTGTGTTCTGGGAGGTCATAGTATTGGTCATTCTAAGCAAAAAATTTTATATGTACATGTGCCCTATTCCCGCATAAAGGAATGACAGGATGCACTCAGACGAGTGACACAGCATGTACTCACACAAGTTGCAAGATCTGTGTCCTTGGAGGTCATAATATTGGTCATTCTAAGCAAAAAATTGTACATGTACTTGTGTCCTATTGCGAACTGTTTCCGAGATAGAACTATTGTATTATATTGCCCACATAAAGGAATGACAGGATGCAGTCAGGTGAGCAACACATCATGTCCTTACATGAGTTGCAAAGTGCATTTATGTTGATGGTGAAATTTTTGAAAATGTTTTGAACTAGGTAAACTGTACCAACACGGTAACTTGAACAATAAATACTGGTATTAGGAACAGTACATAATATCTCTTTCTTATCAACAATTTTGGAACTGTACAGTGAAATAACTCTATCTTGGAAACTTCGGAATAGGACACATGTACATACGCACTTTTTGCTTAGAACGAACTTTACTATGATGTCTCAGTATATTGACCTTTCCTCTTGGGACACACTGTATATCATATTTATAAAGTTAAACACTGCTCTCTTAAAATATTGTATTTGTTCTAGTGTTTTTTTAGTTTTTAAGAATACTTCCTGATTTTATAAGTGACTGCAGACCTTATGCTTATTTCATGACTGTTAAAAGGTTATACATTTTACATTTTATACAATAATGTGTGTAGGTGACGTGTAAATGTGTAACATGTTGTCAGTTCCTTCCCTGATGTGCATCAGATAGTTTCTGTTGCACTTCGATGAACAGTATTTTTTACCCATGTGATATTATAAATATTTGTATGATACCCCACAAGTTTTGTGGGGGGATTCCCACACACTCATGAATTTGGCAGTGCTCATACATTCAGACCATAGAGATGGAGCAAAATATGGTCCTGGTTGCAAGAAAGTGAATTATTTACTAATTTGATGTCCTGTGTGCATGGGGCTAATAGAACAAGTGTGAACATTTGAGACTGATGTATATTCCAGAGAGCAAGAAATGTTTAGAAAATAAAATAAAAACTTCTACATGTAAAAATTTGTGAAGACAGCGTAGATGGTACAAAGAGAGGGAGGAAGAGCAAGGAGGCAATTAAAGAAGAATGCAGGCCAGTACAGGCACCAGATGATATAATGAAGATATAAGATTATTATGAGGTTCAAGTACATAAAAGATATCTTCCATAGAGAATATGCGGAAATGCCTCTTTCAAGACATTATGAGTCTTGAAACAGGCGTTTCTGCGTATTCTCTATGGAAGAGATCTTATAGGTACTTGAACCCTTCCTCCTCTTGAAGGAAATCAAACATTTACCAGATGTGTGAGAATCTGTACTAGTTCACTTTTCCTACAGAACATTTTGAATTTCTGCCAGATTTTTATCTTTTTTTCTGAAATGGAGTCAATATGGTTGTGATTCATGGATTTATCTCATTACAAACTTTAATTTTGGAGTATCTGATAGCTCCTTTTAAAGTGAGCACCTATACTTGATTGATACTGAGCAGAATACAATTGAGGCTTTCACTGAACTGGAAATAATAAGGTATAAATTCAGTTGATTTTTTTGTAAATAAGCTCTAAATGTCTGTGATGATGGTATATTAAAGCAACTATTGTATTTCTGGACATTATCCATCTTCCTATTTATATTTAAAACAACATTTCAGAGACTGGCTTCTGTCTTGATAAGAGCCAGTCCTTATCTCTGAACACTTCGCTCTATCACCTGGGCCAGCTGAGTAGGTTCCACCCGAAGATGGAGACAGAATCCAGTCTCTGAAACAATGTGTTTTAAATAAAAACAGGATGATGGATACTGTCCAGAAACACAACAGTTAATTTTTGTGTTGAAAAGATTATATATTGTGCAGGCCTAGTGAGATTTTCAAGGCGGTATTACTTCATGATTTTCCAAAATCAGCAGCATCTTACAGATATTAAGCACAATTTTAAACTAAAATTCCCACCAGTCAGTCATGTTTTACTTAATTTTTGTTTTCAATGTCTGTTGTGCCTTAGCTTCCTTTCTGATTTTTTATTTTATTTTATTTTATTTTTTTGACATGTGTAAAATAGCAGGTTACAATAATTTGTGTTGCTTGGTGTTGCTTGTATGTTTGTATTTTTGTTATACCTGTAATTGTTTTGTCATATTTTATACCTTTTGTTTGTAGATGTTGACATTATTTGAAGTAAAACACTTGTTTCCTATCTTGCATCATATATTTGTGCCAGCTTTTGCTTTCTATCCAGTGCCACAAGTGTTGTTTTATTTCCTGTCAGTAATCAGTGTTGTTTTCAATGTGGGTAAGTACATAACCTCCTCACCTGATCTTGGTTCTTAGCAAGAGCGTTCACTATTCTAATGCAAAGTAATAGGCTATGTTTCTTATTAAATTGGAGGGACAGTCATCCTAAATCATTCTGAATTTTTTGCTCACTCTCAAGATGCAAAACCCCATGTTTAATTTGTTTATTATTAAGTAATTTAAAAACACTGTTTAAACTGCAGGTGTTATTATAGTGTGAATGAGATGGGCAGATATCTTTTAATGATGCCAAGGTAAGAATTTGGAGGAATGCATATATAGCCTACTTTCAGTCACTTCTGGAATTATTCTGGAGGATCTTTGAGGATATCTTTCATTTAACCGTATGATAATTAGTAATCCAGCTGAGTTTTAATCATTTACATGTTATGTAGACTAACGAATTTATTTTATTTGTGTCATGGTCATTGCACTTCATGGCATATTGGCTTTTCATTTTTCACAAGAATAAAAATTATCTCATTCTGTATACCTGTAAATGAACTTCAGGCTGAAATTTATTAAAAATTAAGAAGCAATGCTGGTTTAAGTATTGACTTATTCATGACTATAATTATGTAAATGTCAATTGGATATTTAGGGAAATAAATAGGCCTAATACCAGAACACCAGAATGTTGAAAGAAGAGAATATAATTAGTTCATATTAAATATTTTAGAAGTGGGTTAGTGTTTACTGAGGAAGGAATTGAGAATCATTTGCTGTAAACTGGCTGTTAGAAATAGTTGATTGTCTGGTTTCAGAAACTGAATTCTAAACAAAATATGGCAGTTGATGTCTGCTATTAATTTAACAGAGATGGAGATAATGAACACCAGATTTCAGCACAGGCGTTCTTTACTCTAGCTTACATTTTTTTCCGTTTTCTTTAAAGATTCAACATATTTAAAAATATACGCATTTCTTCATATTTATGTATTATGGCTGGAGCATTTTTTAGCCATTTCAAGAACACCAGTAAGTTGAAAATCATGTTGAAACAAATCCTTACTGTCAAATTTACAAATAAGTAAACATTTCTTTCCGGCAGTATGCATTGATATGCCACATCAGAATGTTTTCTCTGAAACAAAAAAACTTTTTTAATATAAATTTTCTAAAGTAGCAGAGGTTAAAATATTTATACATTTTTTATTTTAGTTAAAATTTCTAATTTTTGTTAGTTCCATGATAATCGAAATAAATATTGCAACACCCGTTTATTAGTCAGTTGAGTAATGTGCCTCATATGTTTTAGGTAATTTTAATTAATCATAATGCTCATATCACACATTACAACACTGAAAATGAGAAACAACCTTTATTTCACTACAAAGAGGTAATTATAGATAGATATAAATATTCATCAGTAATTATTTTTCAGTTGAAAAACTCAATAATCACTGAGTGAATTTTTGAATTAGCATTTTGTCAACTTGATTTGTTTGTGCATTCCATACTTCCTCTTTAGCTCTAATAGTTCAGTAATTCCTACACGTTCCCATTGTTGTTATGCAGAATATTACATTAGATAAATGACAGGACGAAATTTATTTTAACTGTTATTTGTTGTAAATATATTTTAAAATTTATAATTCTCTTTGAAATATTCTTTACAGACTACAACGCATGACACGAGTGGAGCTGACAACTTTGGATTTGTATTAGACCTTAAACATGACAGTATTTCTGGCAAACTTCAAAATATTCAGCACTGACCTAATATGTACTTGTAGCTTCTGTGTTAAATAGGCATTGAGCTCGATACAAGGTATGTGGCTTTCATTAGGAGTAGAGTTGTGTGAGAGACTATGGCATGTGATCAGAGAGATTTATTGTTGCAGTGATAATCTTAGAGAAAACGAGTACCTATTAATTATTAATCATATATTAACCATGATTAATAAGTTACTAGCTATAACTTCCCATTAGGATTTACACATAGATACTACTTTTTGAAAACTGAACTTTTAGATGTTTCCTGTAGTATTGTATGTATATGCAAGGGTAAGATTTTATTATTAATCTTTCCATGTTTTTTATTACAGAAATTGTCTTTTATTAGTGTATTTGCATGTTAGCTATTGAGAGCTGGAAGAACACATTTTCTTTTTCTGATCTTTTCCCAAATAACCAAATAGATTGGACAAAGTGGACCAGAATTTCTATACAAGATATTTTGATCATATCATGCAAATGATTAACATTATGTTTCTTTGATATGATGCATGAATTTCATAATTTAGAGAAACAAAAATTAGCATATTTCAACTTAGCAATAATAGAATTTGACATAAAAATTCATGTTCTGCATTATATTTTCAGATCACGAAAGTCAAATGTATGTTGTGGGATTTATGTTGGGCATTGATTACAAATGCAAATATAGGCTTCAGTTTTTTCCTTTGGGGGGGGGGCGGTCAAAGCTTTCAGTGTCCTATGCAATGGCATAAATTTCATTCTATAAGTTCCAAATTAATGCAGTATTAATGTGAGTTAAACGAATTTTCTGAAATTGTCTACAGAAAGGACCCACATCTAACTGAGTATGCTATCTGTATGAATTTAACAGAATTGTCCCCCGGCTGATATTTGTATAAGAGATGAAACAGTTCTTTATATTATAAATTTATATCCTGTCATGTTCACATATATTTAGAGAAAAGTTCAAATTCATCGTCTTTAAAATATTTTGTACCATTCTAAAATTTGATTTTAATGCTGTGCTTAAACTCAGTGGATATATATATATATATATATATATACACACACACACACACACACACACACCTCATTATATCCTTCTACATTAAAAAAAGAAAGTTGTCCCATCTATATGTCAAGAATGAAATACATATATTTTCCTCATCTTTGAAATGAAACTAGCATGAAATAAGTGCGTGTACATTTTTAATCTAATCACAGAAATTAGCTAGCAATATATATGATAGAGACAAGTCACACAATCAGTAATTTGTAGTATACAAGTATACTTACAAGAATATGATTGAAACCATATCAACTGAGCACTAAATTTTTGTGAATGTTATAGCACATTGGACTAAGTAAGAAATCATGATCAGCTTCCAAGGGACAGAGTCTTTTACCATTCCCCCTCGCAGGGTGTTGAGTGCTAACTCAGATTTCAAGAGACTCGAAGATATTTGTCTGAAGGTCTTTTATTACACTAGAGAAAAGTATGCATAAACATTTTGAAACTTTTAAGATCAGAGAGACTGTGGCTGTATGACTGGAACAGACTGTAAAATTGTACTTCATAATGTAAATTCCATATGTTTTATGTTGGTAAGTGTGTAATCTCATGACTACATGCTGTTTGTTGGTATCACTTGGAAGCCTGATTCTTTCCTTCAACCCAGTTATATTCAGAATTTTTCTTTCTTTCTTTCTTTCTTTCTTTCTTTCTTTCTTTCTTTCTTTGTTTTTTTTTGGGGGGGGGATATTACAGTCAGTGCAATAATTTATCAAATGATCATTTCTGATAACACTGTATAACATGTTATCTAATCAGAGGGAGCCTATTTTTAAGGGCTGGAGGCACCAGGCTTGGCCTCAATAATATACGATGCCTCAGTGTATAAATGGTAATTAGATGAATTTCTAATATGTTTGTATTTAGTATGGCATAAACAATACTTTCATAGATTTCCAATTTTTTACATTTTGTTTGGCATAAAAAGTTTTTTTTTTCATTTGCAAAGAAGTTTCTTCAGTTGCAAGAAACTCATGAAGGGCTTTGCTCATAGGCCCAATCTTTATCCCATTATTTCATGGAAATTTGGCTTGCTTATGGCACTCAATAATTGTCAGGCTGTCCCCTCATAAGTATGTTCCATTATGGCAGAGGCCATCAAGCCATAGCCCCACATTAGGTCTTATTAGAATTTTGTGTGTACTCATTTATCCCCCACTTGTCTGATCATCCATGGTTCTTTGTCTGAGATTAACTCTGTGACTATTTTGTATTAGTCCATCTGATGAGCCTGTAATATTAATATGACTGGAAATTCATTGGAAGCCCCGTGTAGATGCTGAACATATAGAGTTTAGTGAAAATTTAAAAGTCAATATTGCAGCAGAATAATAATATAAAAGTTTATTACTTTTACTAAATAGCTACCATACCTGAAAAGAATTCAATGAGGAAGCACTGAATTGAATTTAAAGACCATTTCGAAGTTATTCATTGTCACAATTATCAGATTGTTAGAAAGCCTGAAAGAAAGGTATGAGGAATGTAAACAATTCAGTCTGGTAAGTGATTGAAAGAGTGCATTTTTAGGTTCATTCAAATCTGCTGATGATCGATGTGTGGGCATTAGAAGGCACAGATAGCCCTAGCAGGGTTTGAATCCCTCCCTGACACAAAAGGGTATTATAATTTTATCAAGAGGAGTAAGGTATTCAGCCACAAAAAAAAAAAAAAACACAGAAAAGGGAAGTTATCCTTGTAACAGGCTGTAAAGGCCCATAAGGTTGTGAGATGTTGAGGCTCTCACATTTTCTAGACAGTTGTCTCACAGATGGCGGTAAGGTTGTCAGCCTTACACTCCAGTTGCCCTCTAACCCCAAGGAAAATTCCTGGTACTCATTTTGTTTTAGAGGCTGAGTCAACCCCAGGGCCATAGTGTGTCTGGACGGATTAGGTAAATTGAAAATAATCCAATTACCTCACTGGAAATCGAACACATGACCTTCCACCTTGTAGCATAGTGCCTCAACCAACTACAGTACCACGTGCCTCCACAAGAGGGCAGAGCCCCTTTACTTATACTTGTCAGTGTCTTGTGAATGCATAATAAGCCTGCAGTTGCTATAAACAAGACATACTCAGCAACATACGAGTAAAAACCAAACTTTTAAATTTGAACATTTAAATAAAAACAAAATTTTTCCTCCCTTTCTTCATTATAGGCATTTTGAATGGGAGTAAATTTTATTCAGCCCTGGTTTCACCTGTTCAGATGATCAGAAGCCACCACTCTTATTAATATAGTTCCTTAAAATATAGATGCAAGATATTCTCAACATACTAATATATTACCTACATTCATGTTTAAATAATTTGTTAATTACTGCTTGAGTAATAATTGACTTTGGTAAAAATACGTTACAATTATTAACAGTTACATTTATTATTGTCATCATCATCATCAGCAGCAGCAGCAATTAGCTCTTGTTAACACATGAATACATTTCTATTGTGCTATCATTTTGCTGTGTCAGCAGTGTGATGTGTTTTGGCATATGTTCTCTGGTTTTGATTTATGTTCACTAATTCCTGCAGCCACTGTGGCCACTAAGAAATATTTTTGTTTTGTGTCATATAAATATTTTTATGCAAAATAAAAATTCATACATATTGTGGGTCTTGTGCACCTCAATATCATCTGAGTTATCTACAGATTGCAGCAGAGAATGCTAATTATACTGATCCAGTGGTCAGTAATTTTAGTGCACTGCTTGCGTTAAAATCGATAATTGTACCTCAGTTAAGACCTGTTCATCTTCTAGTTCATCCCCAGGAAGACTGGAGATGCTGCTTATTCTCCCTCCTCTCCTTAATTCTGACAAGTATGAGGTATTGTGTGAGCAGCTCAAGATGATTTGTCTCATTAGGTCTGTGCTCTTGCTTTTGTTAAGTCTCTGATTGATACAGTAAAAAAATAGTGAGGATGTGTCCCTAACATCTCAAACAGTAGTGTCAAAGTTCATTATCCCTCTGACCTGGGCTCAAGTCCTACAAAGAAGTTGTAGAAGCATCACAGCAGAAATCCTCTAGAAGCTATGACTGTTTTGTTAATTCAGCAAAATAGCTGTACATTAACACCAACATTGTTGAAAGTTCATGGTTACTACTGAAGATAGATTATTGATTTTTGTGACAATCATACCTAAAAATGATTATGCCATGAATTAGGTTATTAGTTTACTTTCCATGCTCTTTAAGAAATCTGGACACTTATCAGAATGTTGGAATTTGGAACCAGATGCAGTGGTTACATCTACCAGATTATATGACCTTACATCCCAGGAGACAATAATGTGTTACATGATGGTACTTCCTGTTGAACAATTTTTTATAGTATTAATTTCTTTATTTTTTCTCTGAGTTTTACCTTAAATTTTCCTGCCTGATTTGTTAAGTGATATAGTTGACTGGTACTTGATGTCACTAGTTTTACTCTCATTATATAATTTTTGAGTACCAATTTTTTTTATTCATTTCTTTAAAAGTCATGTATATTTTGGTATGGGGAGATTATTTGACAGCTGTGTTGAAGCATGAAATTCTGTTCTGCATGAACACTGTATTAATTAACACATTTCATGCTTGGTCAGCTGCATTAATTTTGAAAGTGTAGCAGATCTGTGCAGTGAAATTTACATGCCTATATTACAGGAGATGCTGAAATTTCCCCATTATCTCAGATACATTGTGCACTCCTAAGCAGTTTCTAGCTAACATGCTATAGTTAGAATTATCACATCATAGCAACATGATTTGTTATATGATGATGATGATGATGATGATGATTGATGATGATGATGATGATGAGAACAACGACGATGATGATGATGACGATGACAATAAACTTTTAACATATTATACATCTGTGCATAGATTGTGTTAACGGAAACTGAAACATTAAATGCTGCACATGTTTTCTGGATATACTGGTCACATCCAGTTGTATATTCTCTCAGATTCTTCTTTCATATGTGGATTGATTCAGTAGATTTATTTTCTAATATGCTCCACAAAAAAATCATACCAAGTAATTTCATGAAAAAGAGGTGGTCATAAATTGTTCATTTTCACCAAACATTCTCTTCCAGATTTGAATGGAATGCTTGATTGTAAGAACACTTTCAGAATCTTGTTTTAAATGTCCGCAGCATTTTTCTTCTTCTGCCAGTTGTGTGGAAACTTGCTGTAGTATCTATTTAACATATAGATAAAATTACTTGTTTCCACGCAAAACATAAGCAAATTACCTTGCTCAATTATCTTGCCCCAAGGAAGATTCCTGGTGCTCATTTCTGTTAGAGGCTGAGTCGATCCCAGGACCATAGTGCAGCTGGAAGGATTAGGTCAATTGAGAAAAGAAATGCAATGACCTTATTAGGATTTGAACCCACAACCTTCCAGCATGTAGCATGATGACAAATAAAAATAAATATGTTAATAATTTTAGAGGCATTATTTTCAGATTTGTGTTATATTTTTCAGTTTCTCCTTTATAATACTTGTAAAATATAATACTTGATGTTTACACATCCTCTGATTTTTAGATCTCTCTTATGTTGTCCATATGTAGGTTTATCGAGTGATTTCTTCCTTTTACTTGAATTTTAATGCATGTTTTATATGACTTAAAATAATTTTAGACATATGATTGAATGTATTAACTAAATAGGAAACTAAATGCATATAGTATTAAGTATTTATCTTATATGGGACCATATACAGAGCGCAGTTCAGTAGTTTAAAAATGTTCGATAAAGTGTACCGCCTGATGACAAATTTAATAGCCAAAACATAGTGCAATGTAATACTGTAAAACCAATAAACTCATTTGTTGCATGGTGAAGTGCGAGTGAGTTCTGATAATTGTTATATTGAGACAGGAATAATTCAAAAGTGATTCATAGAATAATGCAACATGATGCAGTCCTTAAAGAAAATAAATATTGAATTCAAGAGGAAATTAAGAGGAGATTGAATTCCGTTAATGCTTGCTACCATTCAGTCAAGAACATTCTGTCATCTCGTCTGCTGTCTAAAGATGTAAAAAATTAGAATATACAGAATATAATTTTGCCCGTGATTCTGTATGGGTGTGAAACTTTTTCTTTGACATTAAAGGTGGAACACAGACTGAGAGCGTTTGAGAACAGGGTGCTGAGAAGAATATTTGAACAGAAGAGAGATGAAGTGACAGGAGGTTGGAGGCAACTACATAATGAGGAGCTTCATAACTTGTACTCTTTGATGACTATAATTAGGATGATCAAATCAAAGAGAATAAGATGGGAGGGGCGTGTAGCACGAATGGGGGAAAAGAGGGATGCATATAAGATATTGGTGGGAATGACAGAAGGAATGAGACCACTAGGAAAATCAAGATGTAGGTTTTTGGGTAATATTAAAGTGAATTTTAGAGAGATAGGATGGAGTGGTTTGGACTGGATTGATCTGGCTCAGGATAAGGACCAATGGAGGGCTCTTTTGAACATGGTAATGAACTCCCAGGTTCCATAAAATATTGGGAAGTTCTTGAGTAGCTGCACAGCTGGCATCTGCTCGATAAGGGCTCAGCTCCAAGAAGTTATAGGACCTTATCAAGTTATGATAAGATGATAAGGTAATCTAGTAGCCTTTTCCTGGTGGTCTTGTGATGCTTCAAGAAATTAGTACAACTGACCCCAGGACAATTATCACTAAGCTGACCAGTTCAGACCCAATCCAAAAATCTCTTGCTGAAAGAAAACTAATATACACAAATATAGCACTCTACTGAGCAAATTTAATGTAGTTCCACAGTGAAATGTTTTCCTGATATGTTACTGCCCTTTAACTTGACTTATTTCTGTAAAAATATATTCATCTCCTTTAGGACTGCTTTAATGCTTTTGAAATTAATGATGAGGGTCATTTTAATGTAGTAACCAAACACTGATAAAACATTACACAATCCTGAACACTTGATTTCTGCCTTTCTCATTTCTACAATGCAATTTACACAAATAAGATAAGACTGGAATAAATGAAAAGTGATTGCAAGAAAACCTTTGGTTTAGGTGATTGTTAGAGTTTGATCTGACAGATTTTTTATTGAAAATAATCTTTCAGTGAAAAAAAAGGATATTACGAGTATATGGAGAATGAAACACTACAGGACAGTGTTATATTGCTTTATCAGTGAGGTGGTTATGAAAGCAAAGTTTATATCTGTTTCTTTTCTTCCAGCATCAGCCTGTTCCAAACAATAATAGACCTAGTTTGGTCCAACTGTGGAACATTTCTGATTGTTTCAGACAAATATTGTCATTCAAATCATTGGACAGCTCTTATGCCTTCAGGTGCTGACATACTGTAATATACTTTCCTTAGAAATTATTTTTTTTTTTTAAGTTGAACAGCTGTTTTCCTGCGAAAACCTGTTGACTACCATTATCTGAGCCAAGCCCAGGATCAAATATTATGCGTGCTTGTTGGTCTATGCCCATTCAGATATCTAAGAGAAAGTAAGTACAGGGAAGTCCCCATAGTACAGGATTGCTCACTTTCCTTATAACAGTGGCACAAAAATATTTGCTCATTTGAACATCAGTGAAAATATATTCTCAGAATAAATGTTGGTCTATTGTAGTTACATTTTAAGTTTAAGGTAAGAATCTAATTTTTTAAGGTAATAGGGAATACATTTTATGCAGCAACATCTGTATTTGGTTGATCAGATTTTAAGTTATTTTATGCTGCATTTTCAATTGCAAAAGGTGTGTAACATTAAATAAGATTGGAGAATGAGAGTGCTTGCTCAGTAGAAAGCATTCAGAAGAAGATAGTTTTGGCTGTTTGAAGGTACTGTCACAGCATTTGCCTAAAGGGACTGAGAAAGTCGTAAAAGACCTCAATCAGGATAGCCAGTATCCCAGATGGATTCAAACTGGGTACTTCCTGATTATAAATCGAAAATGTTACTATTGTATCACCCTGCCATATATTTGAATTTCATACCCTTTCATTTTTCTACAACCTGATCCTTCAAGGAGTCTGAAACTGGTAAACATCTTCACAGTGCAGAGTCATAGTAAGCATGTTGCTCTTTGTTCACATTTGGTACAAAATATTTTATAATCATGTTGTCACAGACACAAGCATTTCTTTGACACACTTGACTTCTAAATCCCATTCCTAGCTGCTTAGCTTGCAAACCTTATCAACAATAATCTTTTCTGAGTTAGTACAAATTAATTCTATTAGAATAGCCGAAAATACAACACACAGAATGGTGATTTGATTTCGGAGTTCTCACAATTCAGAAACTACCTAGCATTCATAGCATTCCAAAAAGAAATCTACTTTTTTGAACAATGCCAAGGCCCATTATCATGCACAATCTTCAGCCAGTTTTATTTATTGTTAATCGTGATAACTTGTCCTACTAAGATCATCTTAATGTTATTCTCCCATCTCCTTTTTAGCCTAAGAGACATTTTGAAAGAGATTATTCACACTAGAATTTTATATCCATCACTTGACTGCACCACGTTCACCACATTCCTAGTTCATCATGACCTATCACTGTCTTAAGAGTAACCAGTTTACCCGTGTAGGTCATGGAGTTCTTTATGTATTATCCTAATTTGTCACTTGCTTCATTTGAGGTTTGACAATAAAGTTTGCGACCTCTCCACCGTGTTCTTGCCGTGGCAGAAGTGGACAGAAACTTCAGTATGGTTTGATGATTTGGCATGTCGATGTTTCACAGCGGTGTTGTTATTCATCTATGGCAGTCTCTTTCTGAGTGACATATATTATTGTCTGAGTGTGTTTTGGTGTGCCACCACGAGAATGTCAGAGCTTGAATTAGAACAATGAATGAACATTAAATTTCTTGTTAAACTTGGCCAGAGTGGAAGTGAAATCAAGGAGATGTTAGTGCAAGTTTACGGGGACTTTTTTCTGCTCTGAAATGAAGGAAATATTGAAAGGAAGGCATTTTGATGACATTGATGACTTCAGGAGTAATACAACGGCAGCTATGAAGACCATTCCGCAAACCCAGTTCCAAAATTGTTTTAAAGGATGGACTAGGCGCCAACATTGGCGCATATCTTCCCAAGAGAAGTACTTTGAAGGTTACCACGGTAATATTCAACAATGAGGTAATTAGTACTTTTATGGCGATGAGTTCGCGAACTTTACTGTCAGACCACGTTTTCATATGTTCAGTCATCATCATGTAGTCTGTGTTCCTCTCTCAAAGTAAGGGTCCAAATTTTATACCTATACAAAAAGGTTCTGAATGGTTGTTAACCCTATATTAACCCAAATGCTCCATATCATTCTCTATTCATTCATTCATTCATTTATTTATAGTTCCAAAAAATCCATAGAGGCATCTGCATATGATATAGAACAATATATTCTGTTCTCCTGAAAATAAGTTTTATTTTACTAACAAGTGTGGGAACTAGGCAGTTTCCTTGGTTTAAATGAATAATGATCGTATACAATCACAGCATTATACAAGTAAATACTGAAAAATGAATCTTATGCAGTTAAAAAGAGCACAGGAGATTATTTGTACATATTGTCATGATTTTAGTGACTATAGATGGTGTTTGGATAATCAGATTTTTTGAACTCTTACAACTCATAACTACAAGTATGGCTTATGCTCTCGCTGCTCTACACATCACAAATCACTACAGGACACAGTAGGTCTTCTCAGTCAACTTTAGTCTTCACTAGTCATTGTTTGGTAGTGACTCCCAACAGTGGACTGAATTCCCAAACTATCCCTGGCCTCAGCTACCAGATTCTCACAGCAACAGCTCACAACAGTTGAACCCCAGCGGTTATTTAACTGCAACTGAGTCTTAGTCTTATATGATTGACTGTCATTCAGCCAGTCTCTTGGAATAAAGCACTCATCTCGGGCTTATGACCAAATTATTATTACTGTCAGACAGTTGCAGGTTTCTTGATGTGGGGTGCTCTGTCTGATGAGAGGATGGGTCTATCATTTACAGTTGCTGATGGCCCTCACCAGTGCAGTCATTCTCAGGCCTGAGCCCCTTGGACTCGTGACCGTATTTTGCTGTCTCAGATTCAAGACTTCCCTTTTAGTTGCCTCCTACAACTCATAGGGTTATGGTGAAGGTATTCAACCCCACCTCCGCATGGAAATTCAACTCCTTACTTGTTCAGCTTATAATATCTTGGCACATACCACACAGAAAACCGTTTTTCTGTTGCAGTGCAGCTGTTCTCATGGAAACACACTTGTTTCTGCAGCCATTATTTCGCAGCTGTTGTATAGTAATTTATTTTGCTATCATTAACTAGCAGTGTGGCTACTGTTTCTAAAAGTGCTTTACATTTTTAAGATGCTGAATCTGATCTTTTAGTATACGAAGTATAGCAAACATCTACTGAGGTATATTGGTACTGGTCCATTTATTAAAAGAACAACTGTCATTTTCACTTACTGCAGTTTCTAATGTTTTATTTAAGATGTTTTTCTAATTTTTCTGCTAAGTTTTATTTTCATGTCTCCAATTTTAGCTTTATATTGTTTTATTTATAACCAAGATGGAATTCTTATTAGATAAGTACAGGCTTTAACCTAATCCATGGAGAGCAGGTGATTATTACTATTCTCTTTTAATTATTTTGTTATTATTGCATTAATTTACCTTGTCAATGTTTTCGTACCTACTGTGGTACTTGGTACAATGTGCCATACATAAATGTCCACAGCCAGTCACAATAACCACACAGTCTTTACTGCTTGAGCCTTAGGACTGAATAGGACTGCGGCTTCAAATCATGCTCAGAACATAGATGTATGTTTGTATTTTCTATGTTGTTCTGTACAGGTAACAGATAAATTCCCTATCCAAGGAGTCCAATCGCATGTTCAGTAGGATAAATTCAATATAAAATACAGGAATAGATTAAGCAAGAACAGTGAGTGAGAAAGTGAGCCATTCACTCATGCATGTTAGAATTTGTCTGTAAAGTTGAAGGTTAATTTGTCCTTGTGCTTAATTAATTACACACAATGCCATAAAGACATATGGGGAGTGGACATATATCTCCACATTTCTTTACCTCGGCTCTAGATGGAGGTTCTATATGTAATGCGGAATGTTGGTATGAAAAAACCATGAAAGGAAAACCACATATGACTGAATGTAGGTAATCTTAAGTCTAAGTTTAATAAGATATCTTTACTTTCGACATGTTAGGTATTTTAACCGAGATAAGATAACAGAGATATAGATAATATGGAACTTAGCAGTTAGGTAACATATTGTACGTTGGTGGTATGATATGTACTATCTGTAATTTAATGTTTCCATTTAAAGGAAAATTAAGTACATAATGGTTCAATAAAGAACAAGTGTAAGTATTTTATAGTATCTTCTTCATAGTAAGTTTTTGTTACTTTATTTTTCTTTTATTAATTAGGCCTAGGTTTTGGAGAAAGTAGTATGGATGATGTTTCTGATCACTACTGGATATTGCAAGACTGTCGTAAGTGAAGTACTGACAGAAAATTTTATCACTTCAAATAATATATGTGAAATTAAAGAATGTGGAAGGAATTTGCTAAAGCACATACACAGAAGGAAGACAAATGGAATATGAAGTCAGGTGCTGCAATTCAAACCATTTAAGCAGAAAGGTTATGAGCATATACAGAATAGATGGGAAGACAAATTACACTTACAGGGTTTATTATTAAGCAAAAAGCTTAATCCTGCATAGGTCATGACAGTTAATGATAATGATGGTGTGTATCAGGCAGTGTGCAGTTTCGAGAGCAGTGACAGCTTCCTAAAGGGAATTGTTCTTCAGTAATCTTGATAATGTGTCCCCCCCCCATATTTTAAACTTCAAGAAATTCATATGATGTTATGTAACTAGAAAGTTAATATAGTCACAGAAAGGACATAGACAAAATAAAGTTAATTTATGTGGTGTTTTGTTTATTACAGTGCATAGGATGGCAGGAATTAGAAATCCCGTTTACAGTTCAGAATATGAAATTAATCAGTTTCCACAGGTAAGGTTTATAGCCGTACTTGGCGTGTCTCAGTATGATCATAATACCAGAACATCAGAGTCACTCTGTAAATGTTTATTTCACCTCCTGATCCAGATGCTTTCATAACCATGAAAGTTATACAGCACTGGGTGGGAGAATGAATGTGAATGATAATGTAAAAATATATGGAAAGTACTGGTCATGGGCTATGTTTAAGGTACTATCCCAGCACACTACTCAGTCCACTTAGATGGTTAGAAAAGCCTCAGAATTGCTTTTCCTCAAGCTGTTGGTCAATCCCAGGATATTCTGAATATGGAGCAGATTACCAACTGCTCAAGAGGTGTTATTAGGTGTATGGTTTGATACCTTATGAAGTGATTATGATGTCTGTTGGATGAGGTGCATTTGATGTACATGATGTTCAAATAGTTGGATTTGCTGATGCCTTCAGGCAGTTTCTTAAGCTGTAAAGATAGCTATATTTTCATTTGATTTATTTTGTTCCACCTCTGGAGTATACTGGTTAACATATAAACTAATATTCAGAAGACTTGGATTTGATTTTGGTCAATACCATGAAGAAATTAGAATAAATGGAATAGAAATAAAATTTTCGTAGTGACCCAATTCATGTAGGAAAAAAATAAAATATGACCACAATTAATAAAATTTAGATGGAAGTACAATATATCCAACTTTAAGAATGTTATGTATGTCATATAATATGTTAACAAATATTTAAGTCCTTCAGCCATTCCATATTAGATTAATGAAGTTAAGTTTCTCTTTCACTCTTATAAAATATGACATCAATAGCTTTGAAAGTAAAGTGATTTTAATGAAGAACTGAACACGTTTCTCTTGTGGTTTATTTAACAACACTGTCAGTATCTTGACTATATTGCATCATATGATAGAGTGGTTGATGAATAGAAAGGATTTGGAAGGAAGCAATCATAGCCAAATCAGACTGCTATCCTGAGGCTTGCCTGGAGGCGCTGAGGAATACCATGGAACACCTCAGTCATGATAACCAGTGTTTTGGTGGAGGTTTGAACCAAGCATCTCCTGAATACATGTCTAAAGCAATACCACTATGCTAACCCTGTTGGTAACAAGTCTTCAAACAGTGGTGGTGTTTCCAAGGTCATTTGGAAGGAAAGTTAAGAGTACATATAGGTAAAATAGTCAGGCTTCAGAAGTGTTTAAATGGACATGGGCTGGATAATTTTGGTGCCCACTGTTGGCCACCTATCCTGCAGTTCCAGTTCTCATAAATTTCTGTATCTAAAACTGCTGTTTCAAATCGTGTCCACAGTATTTTCATGGATGTACAGTGTCCGTATTCTCAGTACTTAAACTCCAATGCAGTGTAGAGGTGGAAAAAACATTTCACATAACCATTGTATATGTAGCTATAAAGTCTGTAAACAGAAACTGTAATAATATTTTCTGTCTCAGTTAACAGCTTACATCTGGAAATCTCTTTACGGTAGAGAAAAGTAATTTTGGTTGGTTTTTGTTCATCTAGCAAATTACTCATAGAGAAAAACCTCCCACTGTTAAAAGAAAAATCAATAAAAGCAATAAAACAATTAGAAAACTGATTCCTAACAAATAATCTTATAATAAATACTGAAAAGACTAAAGCAATACTATTTCAGGGGCGAGGATCTAGTTTTAACTCGTGGACCCATTCTGTATTTAAAAAATGAAGAAATAACTTACTCATTAAATTTAAAATTTTAAGGTATTTATATCACAGATAGCTTAAACTGGGCCAATCATATGCAACATCTCTGCCATAAATTCAAAGCTCTTTATTTGATTAAATCCCTATGAGACTCAGTAAGTTTACCAGTACTAAGAAGTACTATTTAAAAAAAAACCATGTAATGAAATTTATGACCCCTAAGGCCATGGACTATCCATTACATATAAAATATAATGACCAAACACTTAAATTTTCTGTAAATGCGAAGTTTTTAGGTGTGTGCCTGGACAATCTTTTGGGCTGGGAAAAATACTCTGATGAAGTGATAAATAAGTTGAGTGTTGCAACCTTTGTGCTAAAAAACTACAGCCTATAGTAAGTAGGCAAGTGTTGAAAATGGCTTATTGTGCTTACTGTCAAGCTCAACTTAAATCATCATCATCATCGTTATCGTCATCATCAGTAATCTGTCAGACGACAGGTCCACAGTCTCTTCCAAAACAGTTCCTCCACTTAATGTGGTCTAGAGCTTTCTCCTTCAAATGAGAATATCATCTTCTGTCCCCAAGGTCATCCACCATCTTCTTACGTCTTCTTCATCTTCCGGTCACTTCTATCCACCCCTCTATCTTTCCTTCAATAACTTCTTTTAGAAGGCAGTTTCTGCATAAAACATGACCAATCCAATTAGCCTTCCATTTTCTTATTTCGTGTAGGATATTCCTCTGCTCACTGACTCTAAATAACACTTCTTCATTTCTCACATAATCGGTCCAACTGATCTTCTCCATCCTTCTCCAACACCACATTTTGAAGCTTTCTAGGTGTTTTTGATCTACTGCCCTAAGGGTCCAAGTTTCAGCACAATACAAAGCCATGCTCCAAATGTAGTATTTCACTAGTTTCTTTCTCAAATTTAAGTCCAATTTGCTGGTATTCTTCGTCATCAATGAAAAGAGTTTTTGTGGCTCAGAAAAGAGCAATTAGAGCAATGTTAATGATGAGGCCTAGAAGTTCTTGTAGAGAGGTTTTCAGAGAATTAGGGATACTTACAGTTCCCTGTTTGTTTATACATATATGCCATGGTCATGTTTTTAGTTGAAAACGAAAATAATTATCTTCCAAATAATAGTGTACATAAAATTAACACTAGAGTACAAAATAGGCTACACATCACATCAGCTAGACTATCCATTAAACAAAAGGGAGTGTATTATACATCCATAAAAATTTTTAATAATTTGCCACATAAATTATATATTTTAAAGGATAATGTTAATTTATTTAAACGAAAACTGAAAGACTTTCTTATCTTCAAAGCTTTCTATTCTATTGATGAATGTATGGCAAATACCTAATTGTATTAAATTCCTATTGTATCTAGGTTGTGTCTATTTGTACTTGGTTGAATATCGCAACTACTTTTAATTAATCTGACAAGCTCAATATCCGGCCCAATGTATATGTGTGTGTGTGTGCATGTGTGTGTGCCTTTTTGTGTGTGTT